ACTCTCGCCCTCCTCATCCTCCAGGACCCCCTGTGGAAAGCGGGCCTCGGGCCCGCGCTCATGTGGCACCGTCTCGTCTGGGAGGCCCATGCCCTACCTGACAAGGCTGTGGTCAGTCTCCAGCAACTCAGCTACTGGGGTGAGGCTATTTTGCCGAGGGTTTCTAAAGCGTGGGGCTCCTGTAGGGGCCCTCTCAGTGCTGCGGCCCTTTCGTTGGACAGAGTGGGTTGGTCGTTACAGGGGCCCTTTAGGTTTGTGGCCCCTGCAGGACTTGAGTACCCCCTCCCAGGAACCTCCCCAACCTACATTGCCAAGCAGCTCGAGATTGCCTGGCACGACCGCCTCGCAGAGCGGGCTGCTGCCAAGATGGGATTTCAAGGAGAACGGCTGGATGCCGCAGCACTATGCACTGTCCTCAGGTCAGACGACATGACCAAGCAGCAGCGCGGCACGTTGCTGGCCTTTGCCACACAGAGCATTTGGACTATGGAGCGCGCCCTGGCAGCGGGATGCGATGCGCCCCAAGGTTGCCCATGTGGACACCACAAAGACGACCTCCAACATCGCCTCCTGGAGTGCCCCAAGACCGCCAACGCCAGAGAAGTGTTCGATAGTGGGGAGCTTCGTAGGTTGAAAGACCCGATCCCTGGCACCTCCCCCCTCCACCTCGGCTTCCAGTTTAAGCCCGATTTCGTGGCCCCACCTGGTACTGGCCTTGAATCCGCCCAGTTCTGGTGTCGAGACCTTCATTTAAGGCCTGAGGAAGCGTTCAAAGGGGATGTGTTTATTGACGGCAGCTGTACGAATCACGGTCACTATGATTTCAATGCGGCAGCGTTTGCTGTAGTGCGCATGGTTGATGGTGAAGAGTTTGCCACCTTCAGTGGCCGCGTTGGGGCCCTGGGATCCCAAACCTCGGGGGCAGCTGAGCACCTCGCAGCCGTGGCTGCAGGTAGACTCTCGAGCCAGGTTGCCAGCGTTTATACTGACTATAAAGGAGTGTTGCAGCTGCATGGGGAGGCAGGTTATCCTCGCCGTAACCTGTGGTCTGGTTGTAAAGTCCTCGCGGGCGGGGGTTTCTTCGACCTCGGCCCCAAGCCCCAGAAAGTCAAGGCCCATCAAAATCGGGAGCTGCTGCCACCCGACAGCAAAGAATATCGCATAGCCAGAGGCAACGATGCCGCCGATAGGATTGCCAAGGCCGCCGCGAACCTTGGCAGCCAACCCAGCACTAACGAGACAGAGAAGTATCAGAGTGACACTGCTCTGCTCAAGAAATATCTCCGATATACTTCCAAGGCCCTTGGGGAGTGGCCAGCGATTGCCCCGCGTAGGAACAAGGCACTGACCAAGCCAGTCAAGAGCCTCTCCCCACCCTCGGGGGCTGCCTCAGCCCTGGCCTCTTGGGGCCAAGGTGCGCGGGACCCTGCGGCCCCTGGTGCCCCTCCTCCTCCTCCGAGGCCTCCCCCCCTCGCCTCCGAGGCCCCTGGGCCCCACAGGGCCCACCAGTGGCACCAGATAGGTTCCAGCTGGCAATGTTCTGCGTGCAGACAGAGGTGTGGAAGCACCCAAGCAAGACAACGTCGTGAGAAGGAGGTCTGTCCTGGGCACTGTGCACTGCACAGTGATTTGCTAATCAACCCGAAAGGGCACCTACCATATTTCTTCGGTTTTGTGGGCGAATCTATTCCCTCGAGTATTATCATGTGCTGGAAGTGTGGATGCTTCGCCGAGAGCACTCGAGGACCAGGGTTTCAAGCTACATGCCCAGAGTCCCCGCCTAACCACGGTCGCAAGCTGCAACGACAGCGAGCCATGGAGGGGCGACACCCCAAAGGTGCGGCCTTTTCCCCGATAATTTTGAAAGCTCCCATCCCCTTGGCTCAGCTAGCCCAGGAACTAGCTGAGGCTGACGCTGCCAGCTTCAACGCAAGCCAGCAGAGCAGTGTCGGGAGCTAGCCAGGGCGATTCCGCCGTGTTCACGAAAGCCCCAACCCAGGGGATGCGGATTTCACGCCCAAGACGGCGAACCCACCCACAGTCAGAGCGCTGGTCCTTCTCCTCCTCCCCCAACTCCTCCTCCTCCTTCTCCTCCTCCTCCTCCTCCTCCTCCTCCTCCTCCTCCTCCTCCTTCTTCTCCAACTCAGCCTCCTCCTCCTCCTCCCCCTCCTCCTCCCCCCCCTGCTCCTCCTCCTCCTCCTCCTCCTCTCTCATCCTCCTCCTCCTCTTCCCCTCCACCTCCTGCTCCTCCTCTCCTCCTCCTCCTCCTCCTCCTCCTCCTCCTCCTCCTTCACCTCCTCCTCCTCCTCCTCCTCCTCCTCGTCCTCCTCCCCCCCCTCCTCCCCCAGACGTCCAGAGAGGGCCTTCTCCTTCTCATTTCCCCCCGCTCGCTCGCCGCCGAATCCGCGGTCCGGAATCCAGACCGCGAGGGCGCGGATACCACATGTTCGCGTCGTGTCGATTGGCGGCGACCCCGCCGTTCAACGTTGAACGCTGCCGGCGGCCCCCATCGTTCAACGTTGAACGCGGACATTTCGGGAACGGCCGATCGTTCGAGGTCAAATGGGCCCCGCGGGGTCAGAGACCAACGCCAGGCCAGGGTCGACACGACGCGGACCTGCCGCACGGATACGTTTAAGGCGGGCCTGTCCTTCTACGGGCGTTGTTTTTTGTAAGAGTCACAAAGTAGTCTGGGGACGAGTTTTTTGAGTATGTTTCGACTATGAGCATTTTTGGGGGTATTTCCAATTGTTCGCTCAAGATCCGATGCCTGCCGTGCGGATGCCTTCGCCGCCCGAGGGGAGCAGCTCCGCGCCCGGCGCGGCGCCAGTTGTGCGACACGGCGGGGCCCCGGGGGGGGGGGAGTTTGGCCCGCGGGGATCGTTCCACTTCGCACGATCGGCCGTTCCCGAAACGTCCGGATCTTTCAGCGTCGACCGCTTCCGGGCCGCTGGCGGCGGGGTCGCCGCCAGCCGGCACGGCGCGATGCCTGCGGCGCGGAGGCCTTCGCCTCCCGAGGGGAGCAGCTCCGCGCCCGGCGCGGCGCCGTGTGTGGGACGCGGCGGGGCCCCTCGGCGGAGGGGGGGGCGGGGCCCGCGGCGGGGGCCCCGGGGGCGGCGAAGCGCGCCGCGGGCGCAGGCCATGTCTGTATCCACATGCAGGGCGTCTGCGGGGGTTCGGTCGAGTCGGGCGTGTCCCTCTACAGGAGGGGTATTCAGAAATATGCCAGAAAATGTCGGGGGGCGATTTTTGGAGTATTGTTGACGTGGTTGAGCATCTTTGGAGCCCTTCCTTGGGTATGTCTAAGGTTTCGCCCAAAATCCCTTGGAAGGGGGACAGGCCCGACCTAAATCCAGTGCGTCTTGGAATTTCGGGCTCTCTCTTCCAGAAAAAATAAGGCGCACTGGATTATGTATTCAAATCTTGCCCAAAAGGTTACATGTTTATCCATGTCCAGTGCGCCTGGGCTTTGCGGCGCCCTTTCCAAGAAAGTCCAAGACGCACTGGATATGGATTTACGTATTGCCCGCACCAGGCCCCCCCTGCCCTTCAGAGCCGACGTGGCCAAAAACAATGGCGCATCCTACGACCCAGAACCCCTCGCGATGCGAAAAAGTCACGGCGGGAGGTGTTTGGCCATTTTCGGCCTCCGGGGGCCCCCACTGGGCCTGGGGACCGTCAAAAAACGATCCAGGATAAGACCGGTGCTGGGGAAGCGGTTTAGGCATTTTAGGGTCGACGTCATTGTGAGAATATTATGACTTCGGGAGCCTGGGGGAAAGGCAGGGAGGGACATGGGAAAGTCTTCACCCCTCCCCGCTCCTCTCATCCTGCACTCCCGCCCATTGCTTCCTCTTCTCCCGCCACCCTCCCATCACCCTCCGCTTCCTCTACTCGGGCACACGCTAACATGGATGAAGCATTCCAGTGCGCTCTCAGAGCGTTCTGGAACGCTTTGAAAAGGCCGCGACGCCCGACACATCCTCCAGATCCGCAGGTTCTCAGAGATTCTCGATTAATCCCCACCCGATGCTATCCTGGTCTTGGCCTCGTCTTAGCAGACTGACGGAATCATATCGGCGGATGCCATGGGTCGAAGGAAAAAAACTCCATATGAATGATGTCTCGGATGTCCGCGCAGATCTCTTGGGTCTGCGCCGGGCCCCCCTGGCGGCGTCTTCGGCGCTGCCTCTGACGCGCTCCCCGGGACAGGGAGCGGGGTCCAGCGCCGATGCAAGAGGTTCGACTAGACGTAAGAGTGACCTTTCGCCGGAGTGACCTTTGGTGCGGGCACAGATGGGCCCCCAGATGCCCGAACGCAAAGCGGTAGCAGCGGCTAGCGCGCCTGGATTTGGCCTCACCGCGGCCCCCCCAAAGCCGCGCACCAAAGGTCACTCTTACCCAGGGTCACTCTTACGTGTAGCCGAAAGAGGTTGGCGCGGACCCCCGAGAAAGTCCGTGTCGCCGCGCCGTTTGTTCCGCCGCGCGGCCTCGCGTCTTGGGGAGGGCGCCTCGCCCACCAAGTGCACACGCCGCCTCGGGGCCCCGGGGGTTTGCCGCGGTGCCGGCGTGGCCCACTCGGGCGCGGGGCGCAGGGCTTGCCGTGGGCTTGCCGTGGTGTCGGCGTCGTCCACTTGGGCGCGTCGAGAGCAGCCGGCGCGGCGGCACGTTTCAATCGCACACGGCGTAAGAGCGGATGTGGATTCAGTGTTTAGCGGCACTGCTGGGCGTGTTGTCGTCGCTTGTCATCTTCTGCGCGCTACCACAGGTCCGCTGGGGTTAGGACAAACGATGTCTGTGCAGCTCGCTCCTTCTTCAGTTCAAGGTTAAGCCAGGCGTGTCCATCCACGGGAGGGATACTCGAACATAGCCCAACAACTCGTCTGGGGATGACTTCTCGCTTATCTGTTGTGCAGTTTTGTGGCAATGCTGGATTTCTCGTCCAGAGTCTGCTGGGGCCATGCCCGACCGAAATTTTTGCGGGGCGCCCGGCTGGCCAGGTGTTCGTGGGGACCACCCGCCTGCAGTTCGGCTCCGAGAGGAAGGCGCACGCCTTCTGCCAGGAGCTCGCCACGAAGATCGCCAGCGCGGCGCCCGGGCGGCCCGAGCGGAGGGGAGGCTCGGGAGGAGCAGCCTCGGGTCGGGCGAGTGCCTCTACGCTTCAGTCGGGCCTGTCCCTCTACAGGAGGAGTATTCAAAAGTAGTCAAACATAGTCTGGGGACCATTGTTTGAGCATTTTCACTAGCTTTTGTCTTAATATTTGTGGTGTATCTTTAATTGTTTGTCCAAAGTCCCCCTGTAGGGTGGGGAGCAGCTTTATCTAGGCCTCCTAGATGGGGTCGGAGCAGACGGGGTCGGAGGATCGCGCCGCATCGCCGATGCATCGCCGATGCGGCTCGATGTGCAGCCCGATTTGCTTCGCGTCGACGTCGCCGATGCATCGCCGGCGTCGACGATGCATCGCCAGTGCATCGCCGATGAATCGCCGATGCATCGCCGATGTATCGGCGATGCGGCGCGATCCACCGACCCCATCTACTCCGACCCCATTTAGGAGGCATCTACTTTAGGTCGGGCGTTTCCCTCTGTACTTGGATCGCCGCGGGGGGTGCTAAGAGGAAACGGGGATACAAGTGGATGTTAAGGTGGGTTCTATCCAGCCTAACCCAGCTCAGAAGTGGGTTGCACGTGCCCTAAGTTGCTTGAGAGCGTGCAGGTCTGGGCTAAGTGGCCGAAGCCCACTTAGCGGAGTCACCGCATCATCCTGAGCCACATAGGGCACATGTGACCCACTTGTAAGGTGGGTTAGGCCAGATGAAAACCTCTTTAGCATCCACTTCTAACCCCCCCATCCCCTTAGCAACCACCGCGGCGATCCAAGCAGGAGGAATATTCAAAAGTAGTTAAGCAATAGTCCGGGGGCGATGTCTTGACTGTTTGTGGCTATGTTTGAGCCTTTCTGGGGCTATTGAACAAATTCCAAAATCCGCCTGTAGGAGGACATGCGCGACCTAAGAGCAGCCCCTGCCTGCAGCTGGAGCGCTCGGCAGGGCGGGTCCCAGACCCCCTGGCGGTGTGGACAAGTCACGGCGGGAGGTGTTTCGCTGTATTCGGCCTCCGGGGGCCTTTACTGCCGGGCCTCGGGACCGTCATCAGAGCGACTCGGGATGAAGAGCCGGTCCCAGGGAAGGGGTCCAGACCTCTGGGGGTCGAAGCTGTGAACAAAAATCAAGGCGTCGGGGAGCCGGGGTGGCGGAGCGGGGGAGGGAAGGGGCTGACGGGGAGGGGAGGGGATGACGTCCATTATGGGGTGGAGAGAGGGCGATCGAGGAAGCGGACTCAAGTGCGTGATCGACGCGCTGCGTCGCCAGATGAGGCGGCGCCGGCTTCAGCTGTCTGGGGTAGTTTCCCCGTTCGGCGGATCAGGCGCCCACTCGCCAGATCCAGTGATCCGGAATCCATGCCAGCGCGTGCCCGAGTAGAGGAAGAGTAGGGCGAGGGGAGGGGGACGAGAGGAGAGGACAAGCTGGGTGCGCAAGTGTCATATCTGACGTCCTACCCCTCCCTCCCATCCCATGCCATGGCGAAGATCTCCTCTCCCTTCCGCTCTCTGCACAGTCGGATGTCGAACAGGGCAACGATCCCGAGAGTGTACGCGATGCATGGTGCAGCACGGCATAGCATGGCATAGAAGAGCACGGCCACAGTCGGCTTCATCGCGTCGAGACGGCGGCCCATGGCGACAACAAGGTCAGAGGGAAACCAGAAATGACCCAGGACGGGAAATGCCAATGGACGGCTTGGAGAGCGGGCAGCGCCAAATGAGATCAGCGATGCAGAGGGAGCAGGATTTTGAAGGACCGGGTCCGCGGAAGTGAGACTATTGCTCCAGTGGGAGCACGATTCGGAAGGACTTGAAGCGCGGAACTGAAGCCAGCGCTGCAGCAGGAACACGATTTGGAAGAACCGAAACAATGAAATGAGGTCAGAGATGCAGCGGGGACGGAAGAATGGAGCCAACGCTGCAGCGGGAGCGCCATTCCGGAAGGTTTGGAAACGCTCGCATTGGAAAAACATGTATTACTTCTCGATTCGCCGGCATCATGTGTGCAGAGAAGTACGCGGAGGAGGCCAGGACACCTCACCGGCGTCGTCGAGGGAGAGAGGAGAGCTGTTCATTTAGTGTAATCGTAGAGGTGGGCGGGAGTGCAGGAAGAACGGGGAGGGGGGGAAGAGAGGAGCGGGGAGGGGGGGAGAGGAGGGAGAAGCATAGCGATCGGACCGACCCGTGACCCTCTCTGCCTTCTCCTGGGATGCAGCCGGTGCTCTTCCCCTTCCCCCCCATCAGCCCTGTTCGCTCCATGCCTGCCCTCGGCTTCGCGCACACACGGGGGAAATAAGTTTGGAACGCATGAGGGCTCATGGTCTTCTCATTGTCAATCCAGCTGGAAAACAGTGCTAGGCCCCATGCAGACAACTGGCGAGGCCGGGTGCCATAATCATCGATACCCTCCTGGCACGGACGTTCAAGCCTTTGTAGACGTCCGCCTGAATCTCAACACCGCTAACTTACATGTCAAACTGCAAGTACATGAACAGCCGCATCCTCAATATGTGGCCTCTCCAGTGTTGGAGTAAAGGCGGCAGAGTCCCCCAGAAATATGAACAGACATGTGTCACACATTTCAGAACATACTCGCTTTTGACTTTGCGTTCGTCGGGTGGCGTGGAACTCAGATTCCCAAAGTATGCCAGAACGAACCAGCCGAAGCTGGTATGATGGTGTTGCCTTTGTCTTCGTAGGGTGTCGGGGCACTCGCAGCTTCAAGGCCTGCAGTCGGGACAGCAATGTAGCCTGTTTGACACTACTTGTCCTCGCATGCCCAGGGCCACGCGCCAAACTACAAAACCGTAGAACCGATT